GTCCACACAGACTCCATCCGCTCCCACAGAGCATCCATGTCCCAACCATGATGACGTCCGCACAGACTCCATCCGTCTCCACAGAGCATCCCTAATCCCAACTCAGCACAGTCACAAAGATAATGAGAAAACAGAGCTTGCTCGGCAGGACTTCGCCGAAGATGATAGATACAACACAACGTCTTCGACGAGAACCTGGCTGCATGACGGCGCTCAACGCGTTAGCCGTGTACCGAAAAGACCGGGTGCATGAGCTGGGGCACAGTCCCCCCGAAAAAACATGAGCCTTGCGGCAGACAAGACCTGGCTGAAGCTCTGACCGGAAGGCTGGCAAAAAAATAACGTCTGCTGAGTGAGTTGCTTCGGAAACCCCATAGCCACGTGCCTCCATGTTTCCAAAACCCAAGCCGCAGCACGTTTTGAACTAATTTTCCTGTGGTTTTGGTTAATCTAGCTTCTGAAAGGACCAGCGCTATAGACCCCTAAAGTGCTGCGCCTGCCGTGACATCCTGCTACTCCTGGTATTGCGTCCTCCAACGCGCGCGCGAACAGCCCGTCGGAGCGTTGTTAAGGGACCCTAATTTAGAGAACTACTCCATTTGCGTCCTTTCTCTGACCTTTCTCTGCGAAGTTTGGTTTTCGTTTCTGGGCTTGGGCCTCTGCCACAGAAGTGACGCGCTTGCTGGGTTGGTTGCTGCATTTCTGTTCGGGCGGCATGGTGTCTTCTACTGAGGGTGCCATCGTCGGGGAGGGTCCTTTAACAGGCCCCTCCATGCTTGGCAGCCACGGGGCGCCAGGACGATGTCGACGATGCGCCTCCTCAGTGATGTCACCGGCGGGCTGGGCAGATTGTGCTCCAGTAGCGAGACTTCCCTGGCGCAGGGACGGGTTCTCCAACACGAACCAAAAGCCCAAGCGTGATGCAGTAAGCGCTCCCAAAACCCCGGGGCAAGAGCCCTAAAACTTGCTGATGCAAGGCAGCCATGAACCTGCTAACTTGGCATCATCCTTCTTCGAGCCCTTAAAGCAAACATCGCCATATCAGCCCCTGTGCTAGCCCACTGCCTTGCTCTCATCAACTCGAAAGCTGTTGCCAGATGGAAATTCTCGAGAATCGATGTGTCGTGATAGCGCAAAGCCTGACGTCATTCTTCTGGGAAGGGACAGTGGGCCGGGAAAGAGCTCCGAGACTTTCTGAGGAACTTGATTGAGAAGCCTCGTGCGGCCCACAGAGTGGGCCTAGATGACCAAAACCCAAACCCCTCTAAACCCGATCTAAAGTTGATGGCACCTGCAGCGACACTGTTCGTTTTAGGCTGCGCCACCACAGAACGCATTTAGGCTCAGCTGGCGAAGATCGAGAAGGTTGAGACTAGTGTGTAGTAGTATATAGTAGTATACAATGTCCATATCGTGAATACACAGCATTGGAGGCAATCTCAGCTGAGCGAACCCGTTTGGGAGTTGACACCTGAGGTTCCAACCTTTCCTTCCGTCACTCTAGGGCCATCGGGTCTTCGACCACAGTATTTCCAAGACCTATGGCTGCATTACAGATGAAACCCAAAAGCCTAAAACCTATAGTTGAACCAACCCTAGCTTTCAACAATCCATGGCCAGATTCAGGAACTCAGAGATCCAGTCAAAGCCATGCATTCCCAACGCAACGCAGGCGAGGAGCTAGCGGACTCTTGGTCTTGATAAGGAAATCCTCGGCAGTGGTCGACATATGTCAAAGGCGATGTGCTTAGATTTGTTTTAGAGGCGCCTGCACCTAAGACTGGACATTCCAAACTGTCACAGCCGCACATCAAACACCGGGGGTTGGATTCCGAAAGGTGCTTCCCATCCTGAACACGCGACAGTGGATTCCTCGCATAAGCACCGACTCAAACCGGACCGTGAAGAGCCAACAACTTCTCAACAACAGGCAACAACCAGAGCTTGACAACAAGTCCCGAGAGAGTATCACAAGGGAGCACAAATACCACATGAGAGCTCCCTAAGCTTAGCCCCTAAATCCCGAGGGAATTCTACGTTCAAGGCCCAACAGCCTACGCCCTTAAATCATGCAGAAGCACATTGTTCGTCGCAGGATGGGCGATGTCGTGGATGGCCGCTGCAATCATCACGACCAACAGATCCACCTCGAATAGCTTCGGGTTTGAGTCTTGAGTGCCCAGAAAACCTCGAGAGGCTACAGATCCACTTGTCAGTAGGGTTGCTGAAACGGCTGACAGGATTGCGTTCCTGAAGCTGCAAGGCTGTCAGGGAAAAGTGCTGCTGACCCATAGAAATCACCAAAGGCCTCTGAGCCTGCAAACGATGGGGCCATCCCCCTGAAGAGGCGCATGCAGGCACGCACAGTCCTCCCTCCCTCACACACACACACACACGCACACGCACACGCACACGCACACGCACACGCACACACACAGACAGCTAGGCAACATCCCCAATCCTGAGCTCATCCCTTGCAGCAAAAAAAGCTTGAGGTTCAGGCCTGCTCGAAGTAGCCTTTGAAGGATCCTGGGCCGATTGTTCCAAAGCATGGGTCGAGTGCTCAGGGTAGTTAGGCCTTCCGGCTTGGCGCAGTGAGGCATAAGTGCCATTCAGTTCATGGCTGACAGGCTGGGTTTGCATGTTTTCCGGTTTCATTGCGGAGGAGTTTTGAGGATCTTGCCTCTGTCGACTCATGACATCCACGGAAAGGGACTTGAGACTGGAAGGTTTAGTTGTCCAGTCTGGGATTCCTCCGCCCTACCGCAGGGCCAAGCTTACCTTTCAGGGGCATCTACGTAAAACTCAACCACGTATGCACATGCTAGCTATTTCTAATGTCTGTAAATATGTGTACATATCTATATATATAATATAGATCTCTCTCTCTCTCTCTCATGTGTGTGTGTCTGTATGTAACTGTATACATACCTACGTATAGAAAGATAGATAGATAGATCGATAGATAGATATCTCGGTGTGTCTTGACTGCGTCTATGAGTCTGCATAAGTATGTAAGTACGTATTTAGATAGGCATTTACGTACGTAGGCAGTATGCATGCATGCAAAAAATGCATGCATGCATGTATGATCATGTATGTATGTATGTATGTATGTATGTATGTATGTATGTATGTGCGTATGCGTGTATCTGTGTGTACCAGGATTACGACAGGTCAATTCCAAAGACCCTCATCTCCAATCCACGAGGCCCAACTTTAACCCAGCCCAAGTAGGAGCTCGGGGCACCAAACAACACTGATAGAAGTAGACGGTAAGCCCAGGCTATGCCTGTCGAACGAGAGGGGTTATGGACCTTGTCAGTTCTGCGGGGCTAGGCAAAGCCTCGATGAAGGTGTGAGCCCCTGCCAACGCCCCTGTCTAGAGTCCCCTTAAAGAGCAGGCATGGTGCATGGTTCCTTCGTAATCTACACTTCCAACATGCACTGCCAAACAAATTGAACCAATGAAATTTCTCGAAGAGCAGTGGCCTTGTGACAGGTACGACCAGATCTGGTACGTCATCAAGGTCACCTTTCGGTTGGGGGGTGCAAGGACTTAAGGGTTCAGGCTTCAATGCTTCAAACTTTAAGGGTCTGTTGGGTGCAGTGACATTCTGGGTAGAGTTTTTATGGTTTACGTGCGTCATTACATAAGGGCTTCTGCTTGGCTGCGGGCTCACCTCCGAGTGATTTTTACCCCGGAGTCGGGTGGCTCTTCAGATGCTGCGACGGAGAGCGCACAACCGCATTGCTCTACGCATGCTTCCAATGCCACAAGATACGTTCCCTCAAGAATGCACTGCAACTTGATTTTTGTGACAATCCGGACATACATGAACACCAAGCCCACAGCCAGCGCCTCAGCAGCATGGGCGCTGTTGTGGTACGGATTCCTCAGTATACTGAGGGGCGCAGCTTGTTGATCTTGGAGTCCTTCTTCTATACGGCCTTAGGGCCTTAGATCCGCAAATAGCGGACCGACCCTGCGGAAGACCGGGGATGACTGCGGCGGGTTGATTTGGGATAGGAAGTTTTTCGAGATTCGGTCCTAGACTCCTAGAGCCTGGCAGGATGAAGGCTCTACAGCCGGTACTTCTGCTGTTCTTATGGGGTCAAGAGTCAAAACCCTGTGTGAGTCTGGGCCCCCTTTAGGGAGACATCTGTCAGTGACCGGTGCTCGAGTACGACTGCCTGCATTCCCAAGCATCAAGCCACTAGGTCTAGGCCCTGAACCCCTGTAGCCCTCAGCTGTGCCAGGCTTGCATGTGGAAAGTGGGGTCAGATCGGCAAAGGCTGTCGGAACTCAAGTTCGCGATCTGGTCTGAAACTGCAGCCAGCCTCCTGCTTCACTCAAACCTTAAGCCAACAATGAACTACACAACTGTAAGTTCAGGCCCCTTTTTATAGCTACTGTGGGGAACTGTGGGGATTCAGCACTTTCGGAGCCTTGTTGCATCTGGACTCTATGGATGATCACCAGACAACATACAACCGATCTTCCATACCTAGACCTAGACAGTTTGTCTCTTACTTGCCCAGTATCCTAAGGAAACTAAAGGTTAACCTTTGGGGCTATATAGCGGTTATACTACCCCTCAAAACAACCTAAAAGGTTACATTTACATACTCTACTACTAAAGTGTTCCTGCACCACCACTCTCAGCTCTCACTCAAGAAAAGCGACTTCAGAACCTACGAGCTGCTGTAGGCAAGCAGCGCCTTGACGTAGCCGTTGTCCTTGGGTTGCAACATCGACTCTCATACTTGGGGTCTAGGTAGTTTCTAAGGTTTAGGGCTCCTACAGAGCTTACAGCTTGCATCATCTTTTAGTCTCAGAGCTTGCCAATGCCTGCTATGTGTCTGGGAGACTTCACCCTACCCCACGTCTTAAAACTCTTTGAACAAAAAGGAAGAAGGTGCTTCCTGTAGCCGCCGAGCATCCACAGCTTTGATATACTCCTGAACCTTCACCTTCTTCGCCTGGCAAAGCTGAGAATTATCAGCACCCAGTTATACGGCGAAACCCACATGGGCTTCTGAAGCCCTACTTGGGTATGTAGGGCTTGACTGAAACCTTAAGACCCTTCAGGTCCTACAGAAGGTGAAGCTGAAACATGAGTTCTCCCCCAAGCACACTTCGCAATTCAGCGCCGGTAGAAGTCTGGCTTCCGTTTACAGCTGGCACTGGATCGAGCATGATTGCATCCTTCCCGCAGCTGCTGCCGCAGTCCAACACTGCGGAGCCCTCCTACGACTTCCGAACGCCTTGCCCAACACCTCCTTGCTCGCTCCACCCATGAAAGAATTTGCAGCTCGACTTACAAAGTCGGCCTTGACAAAGTGTCCGATGTGGTGCTGCTGCCAAATCGCGAAGAAGACCTATCAGGGGGTGACTGGGGCTGGGTGTACTGCAACAAGACTTGGATCTGAAATGAAATGTAACCCCTCTTGAACCATACCGGGAAGGGCTGGCAGTGGCTCCTGGAAGTATGGGTAAGGCGTGATTGAAGCGTCTTTCTTCAAGGGTGTCGGACGGAGCGCTAGGAGTCCGAGCCTTGAGCTGTCGTAACAAAGAGTTGCAAAGCGCATAGGCGTTTATCCAATTTTTCGTCTTGGAGATAGTAGTGAGTAGTGAGGTTTTATATTAGGGCGGCATGGCGAGGTGTTTTGTCCGGCAGTTCAAGGCTGCTGAATGGCCCCCAACCTTTGATCCTGAAATTCCTGAAACTCTGAACCGCTTGCTCTCGTCCTTTGAGGGCAGGGGTGCGAAGTGAGAGCTCCGTGCCTGAAACATCGGCTCGTTGCAGGACCTCTCGAGCTCAAGAACCTGCGCCAAATGTAGTCTCGGACTTCTTTGATGCTGTGCCGAACTCCAACCGCTCACCCCTACAATCCAAACCCTGAATAGACTCAAGACCCTTGGCTGTAAATCCATGCAGCTGCTTCAGAAGAATACGGCCCAGGTTGCCATACTTCGGGGCTGCGGAGACATCTCAACCCACCAAATTCATCGGAGTTCAGCATTCGGGAAGGACTAGAATGCTCTTAGGAGCATCAAGAGTGAACCTCTCCCCTGACCCACACTCACAGATGAGCTCTTGTCAGCCCACCCTCAACACCTTCGGCAAATTAGCTCCTGTCCACCGCCTCCCTTCACTCTTTGACGTTCTGCCTCTCTCTCTCTCGCTCCCGGGCATGGGGACGGGTCAACGTCCCCGGGCATTTAGCCCACCCGATCTTGTTGATCAGGATGGGGAGTCTCTCTCTCTCTCTCTCTCTCTCTCTCTCTCTCTCTCTGTCGCTCTCTTCTTGCAGTAAGTAAGGAACGCGGCCCTCTTCCTCTCCTTGTGCTGCCCTCTGTGTCTATCTCTCGCTGGAACTCGGAGAAACCAGAGAAACCTGGCTGTCATTCCCTGAACTCTTGGCCAGGCGGCATTGACACCATCCCAGATGTCGATGCTCAGCTTGCCGATAGCATCTTCGAAGTCCATGCTTCCGGACATCAAGAGCTGTGCCCTGCGAAAGGACTGAGCTCCGAGTTTTGGCCGCTTTGGGCTCAAGGATTTGGTCTGCTCCCTGCGTTGCGAAATCCGGGACTCTGCGCCAAGATCATCCTTCCAAGCGTGCGTGCTTCATCTACTCACCAGACACGGTTTTGCCAGAACAGGAAGTCGATAGGCCCCTACACCCATGGCACGATTCGAGAGTGTCTGTTCACAACCCAACGATCAACGAGACTGCCGGTGTGGGCTCAGTCTCGCCTGAAACATCCATGAATCCATCCGAAACCCTCGTGTCAGGCCCACTTGCCTCAAATTGCTTGTGGGACTGCTGTTCTCCAAATGCTCTCGCCAAAGCCTGGGTCAGGCAGATGCAACGACCGGAAGGAAGTACGAACTATTAGGGGTAATGGACGTGGAACAAGCATCGTAATAGTCGGATAAAGCATACGTTTCTAAGCCTCTACCGCATAAACCTCAAACAGATACTCCAATGGCAGAAAATAGATAAGATACTTGTAGTAATATGTATCTTGAACCCCACAGTGACTGGAAAACTCCCGACACTCCTAGCCCCTTCCAGAGACATACCTGTAACAAGGGACCAGGTTTGCACAGCACGGTGTCTTTTGGCTGTTTTCAGGCTCAGACTGCAGGGATACTCTAGGTCCCTAGGCAGCGGCAAGGCTTTCTTCAGGTCTTTGTCTTCGAAGACCTTGTTTTTTGTATGGTGTGTCGCGGTGAAGTGCGTCTTTTTGCTCATTGAAGGAAGACTTCTCGCTGTGGTTTCGTCCAGGTTTCTTCGTGTCAAACTGTCCAGCGCAGAAGACCTGAAACCTCTGTCTTGAAGATTGCAATACAAAAGTTGATTTATCCTGTTCACGGCATCATCACGCGACCGCCCAAACCCGAAACTCTGGTCCGAGTCCAGGGGCAGGAGAATCCTTCGTGTGCGGATGTCTTCCTGTACCTGCCACCGAAATGAGCTGGAACTGCTCTTCACACTCCACAGCAGAGAACGTCGAACACCCGAATCTAGCCATTGCAGTACTTAGCGCCTCCCCTTGAGGAAGATCACGAAACCTCATCTTCTGCTCCCAAACCCAGACTGTCATAACTGCGCGAGAGGCCCAACCCCCTGCAATCCCTAAGCCCCAGTCCTAAAACTCCAAGCCTTATATAGACAACAACCACCCTAGCTAAGCCCCAAACCCACCCCAAGTCCTACTGACACACCTGCACCCTGAGAAACCCCGCCTGCCAGCCCAAATCCTACAAACCTTCAGCCTCAACCCGAAGCCCCAAAAGGCCCAAACCCTGAGCAAAGCCCCAAGCTCCTGGCCTTCCGCACGACATCTCGGAGGCTCCTAAAGCGCCGGTTGGTCTTCAGGCCAAGGTAGGCCTCACGACGATGACCACATCGGGGAGTTTTAAAAAGGCACTCCGCCATGAACGGAACAAGTGCAGTAGATGATGTTACATATACGCACACACAACAATAAGTAACAACACTTATATGTTTTACATATTTTCATCTAGGGAAAAGAGAGAGAGAGAGAGAGAGAGACCTGGAGAGGGAGCCCTGATTAGACCCTGAATAGTAAGCTTCAAGGCTTAAAACCCCACATAAGACAGCGTGATGTAGCAAACCCCACATCATACGACGAAGTTCGGTCGATGGTCCTAAGACCGCCTTGGCCTTGGATGCGCCAACGATAAGATGCTACTGCAGAAATCTGAATAGTAAGTAATACGATCCCCTTAAGAACGTGTTAGACTATACAAGAATACAAACCATGCACTCTTCTAATTGTTGAAGAATCTGTATTTTCCTTACAACTGAAAAAACTAGCACTGCCATGATGCACACCACTGCCTCAGCAAGCATACATGCAGATTGCCCGCTCCACGCACGTGTGCAATATGAAATTGCGGTGAACATGTATGTGTTTCAGTAACTCCAGTATGTCAGCTTCCTGATACCGTGTGCATTCGCATGCAAAGTCGTGATGCCGGATCGCGCCGGGGAAACACGATTACATAGTACCGATTTGCATGTTTAATGACCTAGTGCTCTGGCATGTTACATGCTGCAAGAGCCGGCCACATAGTATCGCTAGGTAAGATCATGTAAGAATCGCAGCGAACACTTGCGGTACCACCCTACCCTTCGCAGGTGTCGGTGCAACACGGATCTATCCGGGACACTGGAAAAGGAAAGACGGAATTGCCAGATCTAACCTCAATTTCGAACCTCGCTGGAAAGCTCTTCTGCTGGCAGCCTTCACCATAGGTGCCAGCATGCCATGTGTTCTATGCCGCGGAGCCTCCCTGAGGCACCCTATTGCAATAAACAGCAATGCTGAGTCAATGCTGAGAAAGAAGCCCACCTTAAAGTACATCTCATTGTAATGACATCCCTCAGAGACCCTGAAGGTCTGGACGGAAACACCGCGCCGTCTGCATGAAGATCTCGGATGTGGTTGTAGACGCCACGCTCACGCGTCCTCGGTCGAGCCTCTTCGATGTCAGGATACAAGCCAAAACTCCAAGCAGCGAAGCTTCTCGAACAACTTTCACTTAGCCTTGCGGCACCGGTACTCTTTCCCGCAACAATCTGGAAAACTACATGATCTCTAGAAAGTCCAAGGGGTAGTTTCGGAGTTGAGGGGGGGCAGAGCAACATCAAACTTGTCGTAAGCTGCCCAACACCGAAGGAGCAGTCCTGGCTGCCCTGGCTTTCGCCAAGAAGCAACACGAACCCAGAACGAACAAATTTGGAGAGGCTTCTCCTCGTCCGAGGGGGCTAGACACTAGACTTGCAGCGTTAGGCTTATGACGAGTAGGACAGTGAATCACTTTCCGAACTAGTTGAGAGCAATATTCTGATGAACTCTGAAGGAAGGGGCCGATTTGGAGTGATCTTCATTCTTAGGCAGTCGATGTGTAAACAGATGTAAATCGAACCCGAACCCAGCGCAGCCTCCGCATCTCGTTGGAGATAGCAGAGATCTTCTCGTCCAGGGCCCGCCGCATGCTCGCGCTGATCTTTCGCCTGTTGTGGATGGCTCTCCGGTACTTCACCTCGGAAACGACAAGATTTGCAAATCAGGGATCGTGTGAACTCACCCGTGCAGCCCAGCACTTGCAACATCACGAACTTGCAGACTCCGGCTCAAGCCCAACTGGCAACCCTCATCGGTTGGAACTTTCACTCCGAGTTTCCACCCAGGACTGGACGTACTCTTCCAGTTGGCTCAGCTCGGAATGCACCTGCTTCAAGTCACATAAAGAAACCGGACGAGCAGCTGTTCTGTCCGGCCCGTATCTTCAAGAGGCAGCACCAACAACCGCATGGGATAAAGCAACGACATGGAGCATGGTATCAATGATGAATGCGCACAGGTGCAGTCGTACTTTGGCAGCAAAACCAGCGCAGTCGCAAGAAAGTGAGGCGGTCTAGAGCTCATGCGAATGTATAAAGTTTCATGCAAGGAGAGCAGCCGCAGCTGCACAATTACACGACTTCAACAGGAGTGATTTCATGACCGCGCCATCATCATGAATCAGGATTCTCCGCATAGCTAAACTGCTGGCAGCACCATCACCACCAACCCCACCGCCATTTTCATCACCGCTATCCCTGCCATGCTGAGCATGGCCATGGCCGCCACCACCATCGTCATCAGTGCCATAACCATCACCATCCGCAGAAGCAGCAGTCGTCGCCATCAACAACAACAGCAACAGCAGCAAATCACCCGTCTCGTCATCATCATCCTCATCATCCTCATCATCCTCATGAGAACACGGTTCGGGGGCTGATGGTGGAGGTACATCAATTGTTCGGACTCTGTTCTAAGCAGTGGTGGTTGTGTACTCTGTTCTGCGTACCGCCAGCACCTACTCAAAGAACTGTCGCCCTGACGCCCTGAAGACAACCCTGCAGGGTTGCAACCTCGAAGATGTCCTCACCATCTTCCGCTTCGTCCGTGGCCGAATCCTCAAACATCTCAAACATCGGCACTAGGGGACGCGTCGAAGTTATCAGATCACTCTTCCGGACGGCTCAGGGGCTCACACTTGTTTTCGTTCTGGGGCGGAGCAGCTTCCGGAACCATCAAAGTTCAACACGGCACCCCATCCAACCGTAACTGGCAGTCTGGCATGCTACACGGCTGCCTGGGATGAATAGCATTCCGATGGCTTTGTAAATCTCGTCTGCCGTCCACCCACTTGCCTCTCGTCGCTACTATGTTTTCAGTACTCTACGATGTATAAGTCAACTCGAGTGCCTCAACCCGCAAGATGAACATGTGACATGCTCTGAAGTAAGAGCAGGACTCCCTAAGTCCTCCAGCGTTCCTCAGCATGAAGACTTGCAAGCCAAGGCTCGTTTCCCTCATCTTCCTGCTGGTTCTCAGCCTTGGCCACATACCTTTTCACAGCCCCGGGCTGCTACGATACGCGATGACTACGTATGTTTTGCTTATACTTTTTATAGTTACTAAGTGTGTTGGGTGGGGGCTGGGTGGGCGGGGGCATCTTCGGTTTTGGGACGTCCGTTCAGAGGAAGTCCGGCTATAAGTTATAACGTCTGATGCCTTCACTCACTGACTGGAAGACCAACTCAGCCCTCACGCGAGCCGCCCTGCATTCATCTTCGCCAAGTGTTATGCTGCAATTGATTGGTGAGCATCCTGTTGCTCTATTGTGAATTCTAAATGCTAGACACACTGAATCATGTTTGGTAGTACTGCATATACATGTTCTTATGCATGTGGTCTCCATGGATGCTAGCCGCTAGACAGAAACCATGCAACAGCCCACGCATTCCCTGCTCCCCGAGTCTAAACCGGACAGCCGCCACGCATCAGAGCATACCCGAGATGGAAGCCTACACCCGAAGGATGGCAGGATCCTTGCAGGAAGATGCCATGTCAGGACCCGGAGAATGAAACACCCCGAATCGCTTCAAGAGGCCGGGTTCCAGCTCGTTGAAGTGAGGGTTTCCTTGGTTGAAATGTGGAGATAGCTTCGGAGTTGTCGCTGCCAAGGCTTTTGGGTGCTTTTTGGGTTTGAGGTTGACGGGGGCGTAAGGCTCTTGAAGAGTTTCGGGCTTTGGGTTGAAGGTCTCGGTTCGCAGTTAGCGCCTTCGGCTTCCAGGTTTCAGGGCATTAGGGGGTAGGCGAAACGGCTGCCGGGATCTGGGAGCGACGCTCGTGCGGTTTACGCTCTCACAACTCGGACAAGCCAGGCGAGGTTCATGGTGCGAGGTCGGCGTGATACAGTGATCGACATCCCAATGCAAACGAGCAAACACATAAAACCCCATCTGTTTAGGGGTAGTACTTCACAGTTCTTTGCTGCTACTACTACGATGAAGTCAGACGCACTGATGCAACGGTCTCGAATCTTCCTCTTGCGCACAGCACAACGGGTAGAGAACTTACGACAAGACACATGCTTCCTTTTGCGGGCCCACTGTCGCGGTTGCATAGCCTCCACTAAGCCGGTATGTGGTACTTGGGATTTCTTTATGTCCTGCATAGTCTAAAGGTTGTTCCGAGTAAGTTGCTCCAGGCCCAGGTGCGGTTGGTCAGACTCAAAGGTCCCCTCCTGCTCGGGGGTGATCGCCTGGACCTCGTCGCCTGGCACTCTGATGATCTGAGACGTCTGAGGGCTTCAAGTCGGGCATACGAGTCAGTCTCGTGGGCAGGATACATTACCTTAGCGCACCACTCCGAATGCCAAGCTTTGATCTAGTCTTTCTGGGTGAACATACCGCACGATCTGCAACATACCTGCCGTAGGAAAACGAAGCCTCAAACACTCATGTGCAACTCATGCACTGAGCAAGTCTCGCCGTGCCCAGAGAAACTTCATGGCTTCTCCGTGCGCACCGAGGCACCCATGGTGACTTTCTTTTTGGACTTCCGCTTGACAGTCACTGGCGTTGTCGGTTCTTGTTCTTGGTCTGAACTGATGGGCTTCGGCATGTCCTGCAAAAAAGCCGGTTGTCGAGCTGAGGCTTACGCAGCCACGGATCCGGGGATGGGGAGGGGTGGGTGGGGTGGGCTGTATGGAAACAATGTTACACTTGCTAATCTGTTCCGGAGTTCAAAGGTTCACTCCCATGTGACGGACCGGACTCAGCAGCCAGAGCAATCGAGACTTTCACCCGGCGAGACCCGGCGGGACCGTTTTCGCCAACAAATAGTGTCGTACGGCTACATGTGCCACTCTCCTAGGAGTGTAAATCCTAGCTCAGATGCCATGGAGTCCTCTGGCATCTCTGATGCATGGTGCCGGTCCGCATCATCTCCTGTGCACTCCGTCCCGATGGAACCTCCCATGGTCACGGGCCACCTCTGCCGCAGATCTCGCTTCTTTCAGTTTAAGATTGGCTCACAACAACCAGGGCTTCAAGGCTTAGCAGGGCTTCGGAAAGCAGTCTTGAAAGGAAGCCGCTCAAGCTTGTAAGCGTTCAAGGACTCAGGACACCTTGCACTATTCTGCCCGATGGCTACAAGTTCACGGACGTCAAGGCAAAGTCTCGATGTGTCAGCTGATGCCATGAGGCTTCAGGTAGTCGTAATAACAACAAGAACAGCCGCAACAATAGTAGTACCAGTAATCATACTAACAATATTAAAATCAATTCAGCCGCTGCCAGGCCATAAACTTGGCAATTCAGTGTCCTCCTGCCCGAAAAGCAAGCTACAAGGAATGTCGCCGGCACACGTGACTCAGCAGGGGCGCGGCTAAGTCAAGGTTTTGAGCAGTACGAAATAGGTACAGTAGTCTGGCACCTCCACCCCAAGGTCCTGCAACTTGCAAGGACGTGTATCTAAGCCCGAACCCCGAAGCCTGAACGGCTACGCCGCAAGAGCAAGAACCCTGCCGCAGAAGAGAAGCCTCCAGACTTCAGCCAAGCTCTACTTTATTAACCCTTACAGCCGAAGTCCGAAAAGGCGACCCGAGAATCTAGGCTTCCACCCCAGAAGCCCAAGCCCCTTGCCTGAGTCGCAGGACTTTTGAAGCAGCATACCAATACTTCACTCAGGGCTTCCGTGAACTACTGACAAGGAGTTCAATCGTCAACTGGTCCTCACCTCCCCAAAACTGAGAATTCGAGAATTTCAAACGTGGCCCTGTCTGGGTACCAGGCTCTCGTTAGTCGGCATCCGGCCAGGGGGGCCGGGGCTTTATGTAGGGAAAGATACACTTTCACGAAGTGTCATACCTGTCCTTGGGAGGGGTGGGTGGTGTTGGGCTAGAGGGTAGGGCTTCGGGGGTGTAGGCGGGCTTTGCAGCTTTTGGTTTTATGTATAGGGCTTGGTGGATCGTTGGAATCTAGAGAGTTCCTCAGTGTACGGTTTGGTGACATACAAATCGGCTGAGACGAGCCCTAGATGTGCCCGCTGAGAAGCCAAACCAGCTTCGGATCACAGATTGGGTTCTCAAGGATTTCAGCGGGCGGCCCAAGCTCGGTCGTTTTCATTGTTGCAAGCTCGCTCGCTCGCTCTCGCTCTCGC